TATTTTATGTAATATTTAGTAATTTGGTTAAATTATGAAAATATGAATTTTTGCTCAATTTGATTTTTATTGTGTACCGTAAGGATATTTTTAACTTTTTTTTGAATTAAGCCCAATTATGTTTTATTTATTGTAATGTATTAAAAATAAATGTATATATGGGATTGAGATTACTATTGTAGTACTGTGATAATATATATATATATATATATATATATATATATATATAAGATAAGTAAATACTAGTTGACCAATTGGTTGAAGACTGATTGACCTATATAAGATGATGGCTGATATGTTTTCCTTTTAATATTATGGTTTTGTGTTATCCTCTATTGATTTATGTGATACTAATTGAGAGTTATAAGTAATTGATTAATGTGATGACTAGTAAAGAGTGACGACTCTGTTTGTTAAGCTAACATTTTACTGATATTGATATAATTCTGAAACACCATCATAGTCAGGACTTCTTACTTATTTAGTGTGACTATTGAAATATATATTTTTGAGGCATTATTTTTATTATTGTATGAATTTATTGTTACTGTACAGATTTACTATTATTATATTATTATACTTTTCTTACTACTCGATTGTTATTGTTATTGATATAGATAATGATACTATTTGATACTACTGATTAAGTTTATAATAAGCATGTGACATGCTGAACTTATAAAATACTAATTTGATATTGATATAGAGAACTGGATAGCATGTTTACATTCATAAATGATTTTTCTATATTGATTTAATTTGATTTGAATAGTCTTTACTGATGTTTTGATTTGATATTTTATCCAAATTCTCTACTGATTGGTATTACGAATACAATGATTATTTTATAGATTTGACATTAGTACTGGTTTATTGCTTTACAGGTTTTCATACTATAGTATTTTACTGTTTATTAATTCTACTACTACTATATATGAATTTTATTATTTCTACATTGATTCAATTATCATATAAAATTGTTAAGAATTGATTGTTGACATACATATTGCTCCTTGACGTTCTTTGAATTCAGTTATAGGTTTTGGTGACCTATTAGGCTTTTTAAGCTTATTATATGTGGTTAAATAATTTCATGTCAGGGCAGGGGAGCAGGAGTGTGAGACTGGTCAAAAGTCATTAGGTTTTGTTTCTTTTCGTTCTAGTTATTCTTTTGTATACATGACAGAGTAGTTGTGATATGATTATGTAAATCATGAGTATTGTATATGATTTTTGAGAATGAATATAGATGTATATATTGATATTTTGAATTATACATGATATATCATCAAAAAATTATCTTGATCGAACACGAATCTCGAAGCAAAATCAAGTTGGAAACTTCAAAAATTATATCTAGGATCATCTGAACTCTGATTTAAGCAAACTTATAGTTGAACTAAATGCCTCAAAAATATGAACCCAACGACACCTAATTCAACTCAATTTGATCCCAAATGGGTCCAAATTAAGGACCCAAAGCACTATTGGAAGGTTCAAATGATAATTTGGATTACCAAACCGTTTTTAAACATGACATGCTTATAATTGAATCGAGTGGCTTGATGAGAAGAATCAAACGAGCCTAAGATTTCGAAATTCTAATATCATTAAGACATTCAAATGCCCAATAAACGGTCTATGATCAAAGGATTTAACATCAGTTATCCATTCAAACCACTCATAATTTACACTTGATCTTCTTGCTATTTACTGGTTATGTCACTCTTTAAAAACTATAAATAGACCTCTCATTTCTCATAGGCGAGGGGCCCAGGGGGGGGGGGGGGGGGGAAGGGGAAGAAGAAGGCCCAAGCAAGAAGATAAGAGAAAGAAGAAAGGAAGAGACTCCTCGACCACTACCGGACTTTCACCCCGCAGCCTACCGACGTTGGAGTTTTGCAAGAATTCCATCTAATGTCAGAGTTCTTCCCGGCCCCCGACTGACGTCGAACTTCTACCCAACACCGGACCTTCGCTTGTCACCGGATTTCTGCCCGATACCGGACTTCTACCCGACGCCGTAATTCTGCACGTCACCGGACTTTCGCCGGACTTCTATCCAACGCTAGACTTTTGTCCATCGACAGACTTCTACCAAATGCTGGACTTACACCCATCGTCAGATTCCTATCCGAAACTGAAATTCCAGCCATCACCGAATTCCTACCCAATGATGGACTTCCGCCCAAATGCTAGACTTTCTGCCCATCACTAGAATTATGTCAGACTTCTACTTGTTGTCGGACTTCTGCCCGTTGCCGGACATTTGTCGGACTTCTATCTAACGCTAGACTTATACCTGACGTCGTCCTTTCGACTTTCGTCGTCAAACAACGATCTTTATGACCTCTGTCACCCGCTAACTATGGTCATTCTGACTTACGTCGCCTACCGACTACATGCCATCCAACTTCCGTTGCCTGCCGACTATGGCTCTTCTGGCCAAGCGAATGCGTCAATAGTGATTCTTTGTAATCCCACCATATAACGTACTATATATGATGAACATCAAGCTAAGGCCTTCCCCTAAGGAATGGCCTCATTTGTAATCAACTGCAAAATACTAGTGGATTCATTCATACTGGGCTAGGCCTTGTGGCTTTTCCCCATTTTCAGGGGTTTTCCATGTAAAAATCCTAGTCCCTATCATTGAAGCACCCTCTCTTTTTATCTGTATGCGTGCTGGATCTTCATGCAATGCTAAGACGCTAAATTTTATATTTCTCTACCATCGCGAATACTCCAGGACACAACAATAGAATATATTTTGTTGTTTGTCACTTATAGATGATATTAGATAACTCTAGTTGTTATTTATTCAATGATTAACATAATAACTATTCCAAATTATATTTTGGGGCATTACACTCCGCATAAAAAAAATTTCAATTACACTTAATGCAAGTTCACCGTTCATGCTTCAAACTGCTGATATTAAAATAATTGAGATTTGAAGAATGGTGAATACATTTAAATTTATATGAAAAAACTTTATGAAGAGGAAGCTTGCCCTAAAAAATAAACATGATGGATTGAGCTTAACTTCTTAAATATAAAGAGCAGTTTGTGAAGAGCACGATTCTTTTATGGAGATGAAAAATGACTTTGAGACATGAAAACCATATATTTTTTTTGTCCGCATGATTTAAGAATTGAAAGAGACATTTTGACTCCTTTTTTTTCAAATTATTTACCTCAAAATCTGGTTGGGTCGTTAGATCGCACTTTAGTAATAATACATTATCAAAAAATTATGTTGATCAGGCATGAATCTCGATGAAAAATCATGTTGGAAACTTTCAAAATTTAAATTGGGACCTTCCGAACTCCGATTTCAATAAACTTACAGTCAAACTAAATGTCTCAGAAATATGAACCCAACGACACCAAATTCGACTCAATCCGAGCCCAAATCAAGGACTCAAAGCACTGTTGGTAGGTTCGAACCACAATTTGGAGTACCAAACGGTTTCGAAACATAACGTGCTTATAGCCGAATCGTGCGGTTCAACGATACAAATCCAAGGATCCCAAGATCGCCGAATTCTGACATCATTAAGACCTTCAAATATCTAATGAATGGTCCATGATCAAGGGATTCAATATCGGCTGTCCATCCAACCACTCCTCATTTGCCTTTGATCTCTCACCTATTTACAGGCCATGCCACTTTGGAAATCTATAAATAGACCCCTCATTTCTCTTGTAAGGGAGGATCCAAACAAGAAGAGAAGGAAGAAGAGAAGGAAGAGAAGGAAGAAGCTCCTCCTCGACCACCACCTGAGTTTCGCCGGATCATCGCCTGACGTCGTTGCTCCGTTGGACCACAACCTAAGGCCCTCACCTTTGCCAGACCACCACCTGAGGCCCTCACCTTCGCCGAAACACCACATGAGGCTTGGACCACCACTTGAGGCTCTGTGCTCCACCAGGCCACCACTTGCGGCCCTCACCTCCGTTAGACCACCACCTAACGTCGTTGCTCCGCCGAACCACCACTTGAGGCCGTCACCACCGCCGGACCATCGCCTGACGTCATTGCTCCACCGGACCACCACTTTAGGCCCTGGGTTCTATCTGACCACCACATGAGCTCTGAACTTCTGCCCAACCACCGATTGATGCCTGGAGTTCTACCAAAGTACCGCCTTACCACTATGGTCTTTTGGACCCCTGCCTTTTACTGACTATGGTCCTTCTGACCTCCGTCACCTACTACGGTCCTTCCGACCTCCATCACCAGAAAATAGTCTTTATGACCTCGGTCTTCTGCCAACTACGATCTTTCTGACCTCGGTCTCCTGCATACTATGGTCCTTCCGATCTGCATTGCTAGACAACGATCTTTCTGACCCCGGTCTCCTGCCAACTACGATCTTTTTGACATCGATCTCATGCATACTACGGTCCTTCCGACCTACATCGCAAGACAACAGTCTTTTTGACCTCGGTCTCCTACCAACTACGGCCTTTCAGACCCTGTCTCGTGCCGACTATGGCTCTTCAAACCAAACAAACATATCTATGTTGATTATTATAACTCCAACCATTTAATGCGCTTTATATGATGTACATTTATGACATCAAGTCAAGGCCTTCTCCTAAGGAAGGACCTCATTTATAATCAACTGCAAATACTAGTGGATTCATTCATGTTGGGCCAGGCCCCATGGTTTTCCCCCTTTTCAGGGTTTTTCACGTAAAAATTATGGTGTCTCTTATGAACGCTATACTCTCTCTCTACCGCGAATACTCCAGGATGCAACGAGTAAAAATATTCACATGACTGCCATCTAAAATAGCTGGGCCAGATCGTCCAATCGCATGATAGTAAAATATGCATGTGGTTTCAAAAAACAATTTAACTAAAAAAATACATATCTACCTTGGCTTGAAGTCTGCTTGTTCGGGCTCCGCATTAAATAATTTCTCCTATGAAAGGGCAAAAACCAAAAAGTGAATTCAACAAAAATAAATAGTGTTTTCACGTTTTCACCCTTATCAACGGAAGTGAAGCGTCGTCTTCCCTCTCTTGGCTCAGCCTTCTTCGTTCGCTCTCTGTTCAAGAGACGAAAAAGAAGAAGAAATGACGACCAGACAGTGAAAGATTGGAATTTTAAACTCATTTATTTCTCTCCGTTTACATAAATCCTAGCTCAGGCAGGGCATCAAGATGGCGACACCAGTGGCAGGGGACGGAGTCCTGGCGCTGATCCCACAGGAGCCCGTGAGCTCCATCGATCCCGCCAACCCGTCTTCATCTTCATCTTCTTCTGCTACTTCGACTTCAGCGTCGAGCTGTATGAATTCGGCCGAGAAGTCGCCGATATTTATATTTCTTTTCTTCCAGAAGGCTATCCGTTCAGAACTCGAACGGCTACACCGAGTCGCGATTGCGTTTGCTACGGACGGAGTAGGCGACCTCCGCTGGCTCTCGGAGCGCTGTCGTTTCCTCTTCGACATCTATAAGCATCATTGCAATGCAGAGGACGCGGTATCTATCCATACTCGCATAATCTGCTCTGATAATTTCTATTTCTAGGGTTTATGGAGTTGAGAATGTGGTTTCCAACAATTCTGTAGTGGGGTTTGTTAGTTTCAGTACTAGCGAGATGTGGTTGTGCAGTTTTTATGGATAATAAGGCGGCCTTGCTGTCCTGGCTAGAGTACTGCGAGAACAGCCAAAGCTTGGATATAAGCACTAAAAACTTGTTTATTCTTTTTTTTACTCGTCTGTCTCTCTGTTAGAATCCTTCAGATACCTTTCAGTTATTGGTTTCCTTGCAAGAGGTAGCTTTATTGTTCTATTGTCTCCTTACAACACGGAATTGTGGTCATAGCTGTACGAGTTTAAGTTGGATATGTGAGCATTTTTTGCATGTGCTTGTGTCTTCAATCAGTCTTGTTCATTCTACATGAAATGGTCTCATTTTCTTAGTTGCTCAGAACGGAATCATCTTACATCATTTTAATTGTATCAGCCTTCCTTGCAAATGATAGGTAATCTTCCCTGCTCTTGACATCAGAGTGAAGAATGTGGCAAGGACGTATTCTCTTGAGCATGAGAGAGAAAATGACCTTTTTGGTCAGTTGTTTGATCTGCTAAGCTCAAACATGCACGGTGATGATAGATTTCTCAGAGAACTTGCTTCTCGTACTGGAGCAATTAAGACATCACTCAACCAGCACATGTCTAAGGAGGAGCAACAGGTAAGTTGTCAAAAAAAATATGTTCAAGTGATTTTATCAAAATGCTATGAATTTACATGGTGTCAGTTTGGTTTTGTTGTTTTGTTTTTTTTTTTTCAAGGCTAATCTGGGGACTGAACCACCATATGGTTCTTAGAAATATGAATTTGACTCAAAACCATATCCTAGGTAGAACATAACATGATTGAAGCAGTTTAATTTTAAAAGCAAGAGGATAGTTACTTACAACAAATAGAACAATATCCGTAACAAGAACAACGGACAAAAACGACCTGAAGGCCTTTCTCTCTCATCTTTCTCTCTTTTTTCTCTCCCTTCTCGTCTCCCTTCCTTCTCGGCCAAGCATGCGAAGTGAGGGAGTGAAGAGGTGGTGCAGGGGTATTTATAATAAAATATATTAAAAAAGACATCATTAGTGGCCTAGTGCCGCAGTGCCACAACGCTCAGACCTAATACCGTTGCATTGCATGCTGATTTTAAGTTGTTATAGATTAGAGACTCCACTGCCACGGCGGTAGTTTCTGCGTTGCAGTGCTTTCAACCCTAGTGCCGCAGTGCTCACATGTATTGTGCCGAAGCGCTCTAGTTCAATCAGCAATTCAACAATCCATTTTTTTCATTTAAAATGCTTTTCACTTCTTTGGGTTGTTACGCACTACTTCTTCGCTTGTGATTCTTTGCTTGCAAGTTATAATTATTATCTTCAACAACCTCTCTGCCAAAAATATAGTTATAATCACTATGAGTCGATGGCGATCCTCTTAGGAAGTCCATGGAGATACTCACCTATGGCTGAGTCGGCATAGGTAGAGGAGTGCACAATCCTTGCTTCTTATTTGAAGGCTTTGAGGTAGAGAAGTTTATGCATCCTTCAAGAATTTGACTACATCAAGGTGCTTTCTTAGCTAATACATGTATCTTTGTAGATTTTGAAGCATTTTAGCCACCTTGAGGTCATAAGATTCTATTCTCAATCATATGATACACTCTATTCTTGTATCAAATGACCAAGTTGAATTGCTAAAAGTATGCCACCCACTTTATGAGTTGCACTTTCTGAAACTTTGATTCAGTCTGGAGGTGTTGAAGTGGCTTGCGGTTTGTATAAATTACAATCTCTTTTTAGAGTAGATGAGGTCAATAATATTTCACTGCTTGGTGAAATGGGAGTTCTTTGTCATATATTGGATAATTTTTCTGAGCACCTTATAATAACTTAGAATAGTATGCACATGTCTCTCTTATTACATTAGAATTGTGTCAAGTGCTTGTCCGGAAGCATCAATCATGACTTTAATTAGTTTACATAGATTCAACATGGCTAAAACATGCACTTCCCTAATCCTCTTTTTGTGAAGAAGAAATTCGTAAGAGAAATTTTTACTAACTTTTCCCAGTAAATGTAGTTGTATTGTGAATACAAAGAAATTGTGGATGAATCTTTTTACATATTGGCACACCCCAAGAAGCTCTGCACATCAGTCATGTTCTGTGACAGAGATCAATATCTTATTGCTTTGATATTTTTGGGCTAGATCTTGATCTCTTCCTCACCAACTTCCAAATCCATGTACAATAGGGTGTAATTCTCAAAATCATACTTTTTCATGTCCATGAAGAGTTTTTTTTTTTTCTTTTATGATATCAAACATTTCTTACACAAGTTTTAGATTTTCCTAACCTATTAGATTGCAGGTGAGGAAGGCATTGAGGTAGATGATTACAAAATCCTATATGAATGGCCTCATAATATTGTTTAGGAGTGCATAAATGTTGTTGACGTATTGCAGAGATTGAATGACTTCACTAAGCACATATCTTCTTCTTATACTCGGACTTGTTGATGAATTGATTTTTGATCTAGCTTTGTGAGGACTAAGACATGCTTCAACTGATCTAGTAAGTCATCCATTATTGGAAGTGGATATTTATATAATGATTTTATTTAGGTGTCTTGTAATCTAAGTACATCTTCCAACCACAATCTTTCTTCGGCACCACCATGATTGGTGATCCATATGGTGAATTGCTTGGTTTTATGGCTCATTGATCTAGTAACTCAACCGCTATGCGTTGATCACTTCATTTTCCTCTATTTAGTTTTGATACATACTAATGCTAAGTTCAGTAGATTTTGATAAAAGGTTGATCTTATGCTCCACAATTTGTCGAGGAAATAACCCCCCCTCTTAAAGTAACTCTTAACAGTCTTCCACTAGCTACTATTGTCTCCCTCATTCCTTGATTACCATGCTTAACTCTTTTCATTTTTCATCACTTTAGGTTCTTGGATATTTTTCATGAAAATACCATAGTATTTTATTAGGCTTCTTTTGTAAGAAAAAGAGTAGAATGAAACACTGACACTTATTTATTATTCTTTTCACCTCTTTTACCTGTCACCATGTCCAAAAACTAACAACCCTTACTCCTATTGATAGTTTGCGTCACATCATTCATGCAAAGACCCTCATTCCCTAAGCTATTGATCTCCTAATCAAGGAGATTGAATGAGGGAAAGCTTCACTTTTCACTAAATTTCATTATCCTTCATAAGTACACGAGAAAGATGTCTTACTTACCTAGTTACTTTTTATAAATACCTAATACATCCCAAATGACTTCAATATAAATGACACAAAGTAGGCAAATATAATGGTGCAAAAAAAAAAAAAAAAATCAATCATCAAGGTACTATCTCAAATATTAATATCTATTAATCAAATTTGCACAATTTCCCTTAGGTTGAGTAGAACTATTCTTTAGAGAGTGAAGGTTTGGCGTAGAAGCTTTAGGAAGGGCAATTCATAGGAAAACAATGGAACAATACTAAATAGTAGAGAGTATATTCATTTATTTTTTTCCTGCTATCACAAGTTCATTTTCCTTCTAATACCGTAATACTGTATTTGATTAAACATAAAAAGGTAAATGGAATTTTGTACAAAAATAGAATGTAGTTGTAATGAAAGTAGTCGAGAGTTGTATTAGTGGTGGAATGTTCCGCAACATCATGTGCACCACTTTAGGTCTCTCTGACTTCAGAAGAGCTTCTTCCAGTGAGGTTATATAGGTTGGAGCACTGTCTGGTGGGTAATGGGTGTATATATCAGCGATATTGAAGGTTGAAGATTGAAGGTTGAAGATGTTTTGAATTCACAGGTAGGTCGACAACGTAAATATTGTTATATTGATGCGACGCAATATCGGGAATGTTTTGACCTTTCTTGGAGCTTTGAGTAACTAACTGATGAAAATTATTCTCTTAGCAAGTGAAGCATAACAAGCCCCCAAGCTGAAAGATTTTGTCTGTGATGCTGATATGTTTGTTGTTTTTCGATACTGTGGAAGCTTTGAACTTCTCTCTAATAGTTTTTAGCATATTAGTAAATTGAGTTGTTGTTTTGGATGCGGATTGGTTGTGGCATTTAGGTAGAACTGTAAGATCAATGAGGTGATTTGGTATCTTCGTGTAGACTATAATAAAAGAACATTGGCCGATTGAACGATTGGACATTGAATTGTAGGAAAGCTCAGCTTGACCAATTAGGTCTTCCCATTGTTTCTGATTTTGCTAAACAAGACATCAAAGCATTGCTAGCTAGCATCTGGTTGACAACCTCAGTTTGTCCATTTGTTTGGGGATGCTAGGCTGAAGTAAGCTTAATAACAATGTTCAATCGCTTCTTTAGTTCTCGCAAAAAGTGATCAATATATTTGACATCTCTATTGAAAATAAGACTTTGTAGAAAACCATGTAAATGAATAATTGTTTTAAAGAAGAGGCGAGATATGTTTAATACATCAAAAGTCTTTTTGCAAGGAATAAACCGGGTTATCTTTGAAAATCAATCAATGATGACCATGATAGAATCATATCCATGTTTTGTTTGAGGAAGACCTAGGATGAAGTCAAGGTTTAAGTCTTTCCAAATGCAATCAATGACTGGAAGAGGTAGATATAACCCTATATTTTGTGTTGTTCCTTTGTTTGGAAAACGTGATAACGTTTTATGAAATTGGTGACATCACGATGCAGGTTCGGTCAGAGACTTAGAAGAAATGAGATTGTAACTAATAACAAGGTTTTGTTTGTGCGCTTACATGAGCAGCTAAGTCCCCATAATGAATTTCTTTGATTAGCTATTGTTATCATGAGGAATTGGGTATGTAAAGGCTGTTACCTTTGAATAGGAAGCCATGCTGCAAGCTAAAATCATTCATTGGATGTCTGACAATGTAGCTAGACCATGGATCAAAAAAATCTCGATGACTTGCATATAATTCTTGCAATTCTTATAAATCGGTAATTTCTGTCTATAGTTGAGTTGACAGGGTTGTGTGGCGGTTGAGGGCATCAATTACATGATTTTTCTTTTAGTCTTGTGTTTTACTACGAAATTGAATTTTCGCAAGAAAACAATCCATTGAGAATGCATGAGATTGATGTTTTTTGATTGTTAATGTATTGGAGTGTTTGATTATCACCACTTAAGATAAAATCTTGGTGAACCAAATAGTGTTCCCACTATTTAAGGGCTCTAACGACATCATATAACTCCTGCTCGTAAGACGGCATTTTTTTTCGTGCTGAGCTGAATATCTGGTTTATCAAAGTCAGGTAGAGCTAGGATTGGTGCCGAGCTAAGGGAAACTTTAATGGTTTCAAAGCTATGTTGCTGTGCAAGTGTCCAGTGGAAGGTCCTGGACTTTAAGCAATTTATAATTGGGGTTATTACTACATTTAATCATTTGATGAATCGACGGTAGAAATTTGCTAACCCATGAAAATTACGGATGTCAAATAAGCTCTGTGGTGTTGGCAAATCCATAATGGCTACGGTTTTGTGCCGATCCTTGTGAATACCGTCTGGTGCCAAGATGAAGCCCAACAAATGTACTCAGTTTGAAGCAAATTAGCATTTGGAATGATTGAGAAACAATTTACTACATCAAATACTTTCAAAGATTGTGCCATGTGATCAAGATGATTCGAAAAA